TTTCTTTCTCATGGTTGCTCTCAAATTTTTATAAAATAAAATGTTGTTACAAACAAAAAAAATAAAAACTTGGAAAATAAGCTTGGCCTCCAGAAACGAAAATTTTACAATGTGAAGGTTTATGCTTAGCACTCACAATGAACTTTAGAGTTTAAGAAGGAAAAACACAGAAATCTTGTCCTTATATAAAACCCTAAACAAACCAGTATAAAAATACAAGTAAAAAATTTGGTGAGGGAGGGCTCTTTTCCCTCTGGAAAGAAAACAAAAAATTTTTAACAGGTTTTTAGAGGAGAGGAAAAAAAATTTTAGAGGGACAACACAAGTTTTTTAGGAGAGCAAAATTTTTGGAGATGAAAACTTGAAAAAGAGAGAGAGAGAGAGAGAGAGGAAGTAGAGAACAAGTGTTCTGGAAAGGAAGATAAATATTAAGAAAAAAGAATATAAAATAGAAGAGAGCACAACCAGAGGTAAGAATAAATGAAAGAAGAGAGTGGAGAAGAAAACCAAAAATTAAAAGAAGAGGAAGAAATCAACCATTTAATCTTCATTCTCTTCGTTTTTGGTTCAAGAACATTTGCTAATTGCATTAAAGGTATTTTTTTTTTTCTTCTTCTTTTTTGCTTTACATGTGAAACTCTTATAAAATAAATGGAGAAATAAAAACTAAGTAATACAAATACAAAGCTACCTATCTCGAACTACTTTATAAAGCTTCATATATATATATAATTAAAATAAAGGTTAAAATGACCTCTCGACATTTAATATGTTAAAAAGCTTGAGTGCATGCACCGCTACACTCCTGAGCATTAATTTTCATTGCTACTTTCTCGTTTTCTTTCTATTTTTTTAATCGTTATTATATTATGTTAAATGTCTTATTATTATTATTAATTTTTTTATTTATTTTTGGTTTTGGGCTCATATAGCCCATTTTGTTTTTTTTAAAACAAAATATTTTAGGCCTAAAAGTTTTTTTCTTTTTTTAATAATAAGTAAATTTAAGCTTATATTGTTTATTTATATTTTTTTTTCAGTTTTGTCTATTATTTTATTAATCTATCTTTAACTTATTTTTGTGAAATTATTTTATTATTTTTCTTTTTATATCTTTAAATTTAACTTACTTTATTTTATTTTTATAATATCAGTATTTATTTTTATATTTTATTTGATTTCTATTTTCACTTATAAAATATGTTTCTTTTCATCAAAAATTTAATAATAAAATAAATTAAAATAAATAATTTTTTTTATAATTCTTAGATTTTTTTAAATCTATTTCATTATTTATTGTAGCATTATTTATTGTGTAAATTTATAATGTAATTTAATATTCATGTTTTGTTTCTATTTGTTTTGGTGGATGACTTATATTTTTATTTTTGTATAATTAATTAATAAATAATAATATAATTACATCAATTTATAATATTAACATATAGTTTTTCTATCGTCATGTATTATAAATTGATAAAGTCCATGTAATTATGTTACCAAGACTTTATGTAATATTAATTTATCATATATTATCTTTAATTAATTAGTTAACCATCTTAACAATTAATCAAGATCTTCCTCTTCTAATTACTAACTTACGAATCAATCAACTAATTTAAATTTAAATTATTTTATTGACAAAACAATTTATAATGGTAATTTACAGCGACTTTACCTTTACGTGTTATAAATTATCAAAAATCTATGTGTACCAACGTTACTTTAAGTTTTATATAATATAATTTTATTAAATGAAGTTTTAAATCTTTTATTTAATAAGTATCTTATTTAATCAATTTTGAATAGATTTATTTTTTACTAAAATAAAATTAATTTTATATTTTAAAATTTCTTAAGTCATATTTCTAATTTTTATAAATTAAATAACTAAATATTTCCTTACTTATTTTTATAAATTTCTATAATATCAATGTGTAATTTATCTAATAAATTATGAGAGATTTATGTATAGCTTACAGTATCTTAAATTCTCTTTCAATATAAATATTCAAATTTAAAATTTTTCTCATTTACAAACTATAATATTTGATATATTTTTTTACAATTTACAATATGATTGTGTGATCTTCCTTTCTTCACCTTTCATTTTGTTTTTCGTAAGATACATGTATAATCGCATTATCTCGTATCTTAAATATTATAATCCTATAAAAATAATTTTAATCTCAAAATAAATTTTCTTTTACTTAATTTAATTTTAATAAACCGACTTCAAAATTTTTATAATAGAATTACGTGATTTTTAGTTTCTCATTGCACCTAGGATACTTAGAAGCGAGAACTGAACCCGTCAAGTCAAAATAATTTTTAAAATAATTTTTTCTCTTTTAAGATATAAGTTAACATTTTGATAAGTAATTTTTCTTCTTCTAAAATAAAAATAATTATTTTTTAAGAGTTAAATAAATATTTTTCAAAATTAAAATGAATTTGCACAATTAAACGGATGTTGTAGGGTGCTAATACTTTTCCTACATGTAAATGAATCTTGAACTCATTTTTTGTTTCAAAGATCATATTATTTTAAAATATTTTCTAAGATTTTCTTAAAATAAAGACTCCTCTAATTTGTTAGAAAATACTTTTATTTTTAAAAGATGTTTTTCTTCAACAAGTTTTCGTCATACAATTGCGACAGCCCAGTTGTGACAACTACCTATTGCTAATGTTACAAATTAAAAGATAAAAACACGGATTTATTTAATTGACTAAACAAATTTGAATTAATCCTAACAATTCCTCCCTTAATCTGAATGCTAAAAGCATTTAGTTGATTTCAGTCTTAACACAAACTCCCAGCAAGCCTCGTAGCTTCAAGAAATCATTCAACTTGACTTGGATTAGAGGTAGTCAGAGAAACCTTAGACTTGGAAGCCATTTCAAAAAGAAATGAAGAAATTCAAGAAGAAATGAGGAAATTTAAGAGGAAGTAAGAGAGAATCTCAACACAAACAAAGAGAAAGATAGCATAGATTAGAGTGAAAGTAGAGAGTAAAGAAGAGGTGTAAAAATGACAAAGGTAACTTTGTCTTATATATTGGTCCTGAAGCCCACAAAAGAAGTAAGGCCAAACTTTTGGGACTTAGTGGGAAGTCATAGAGATCGTGGGTCATTATGAGGTGTCTTTTTAACCAAAAAATGCCTCAATTCTCCCATAAAACAGCACACGTTCTATTAAAGGGTCATTTTCTTGTAACTGAAATGTACAAGCCGCATTAAATGCAATGACGTTGGACAACATGCTTGACATGTATCATATGGGAGTAAGGACACCATAAAAATGGAAGGAAGTTTGAAATTTGAATTCTGTGAAAATTTTCCTACCTCTTAAAATTAAAATATTAAAATATCATAATCAGATAAATTAATATTTTAGGGCATCTGCTTGGGAAAAGAAAAAATTTTCTAAGTTATGAAACCTTATTACCATAGCTTATAGTAGATAAAAATGGTAGAAAAAAGAGTCACACTACTATTTTTCATAAACCACCTCAAAGAACGTGTCTTTTTTGACAAAAAATCAACAAAATCAGGGGTTCCTATATTTCAAGCAATTGCGGCCAAAAGAAAAATTTTGTTAGAAGGGATATGCCTCAATAGATCTTATATGAAAACAAGGAAACCTCATTCCATGATAAAAATGACGTATTTTGAGAAGTTTTAATAGTTTTAGAAAAACTTCATTTCATGTTGAAAAGATGATAACATTTTGAGAAATTTTTTGGAAGCATTTGAGCTTGAAAACACCCAGAAGTAGTCGAAAAGAAGGTGTCTTCGACAAACTTTACTATAAAGTCAAAAAATAGTTTTTTAAGTAAGCGACAAAGCAAGGTTTAAAGATAATGAAATACGTCAAAAACTTGTAAGGCTAAAAATGGTTACCAACAGTTACAAGCAATTATGGATTAGCAATTACTAGCGGTTATCCCCAATTAAAAATTAAAGACACATGGAGCTCATCGTGGACAATACTGAGTACAAAAAAGACACAACCATGGACAGTAGTAGTTATAGAAAAACATACAAAGAAGACAGTTATCAAGTGATACTTGCGAAAGCAGAGCAGTTGAAGTTCATTTATTTATAAGTAGTTCGAAGTTTCACATTCGAGAGGATGACTTTTTGCATTATACTGGTTTGCACGCTGAAAGTTTTGCACTAAGTTAAACACTAGTAATAAGATGATTCATTGTTCTTACTGTTCATCGCAAAAATTGTACATTATATTTCTGCAATTTATGTCAATCATTTAATTCATTTTCAATTTGTTTTATGTAATTCTTTATGTTCAGTTCAACACTACTTTGTTATCCTTCTCCTATTTTTGTTTAATTTTTTGCTTTGCGATGTTAATTTAATCATTACCTTAAGAATACACTTAAAAAAACCTAACAGAATCTAAAACTCAATTTGATATTGTTCTTGAATTTATTTATTTACTTCCTAAAAATTTCACCGGAAACACTACCACTTTTCATATTTGGATAGTTAGTATTTTATAAAGTGCTTATGAATAGATTAGGAACTATTTCTTACTGGCGGAACCATCCCATGATTTTATTAAAAAGTTATTAACAAGAAAGAATGTAAGTATAAAATTTAAAAGCCTAATCTTATAATTTAACGGGCTTAAATGGACTGAATAGGTCAGGATAATCCATTTTGTTAGCTTTAATTGAAAGATATAGCGTTAACAAAATTAACTCTTCATTTAACAATATCATGAATTTATTTCGCCGATGAAATGCATATTTTGTAGACTTGTATGGTAATTTTTTTAGTGACTAATGTGATCGGTTTTAAATTTTTCAGCATTTAAATTAACAGTTCCTCTGTCTCAAATTCTAGTCTCCTCGTGTTACCTGCTACGTATAACAAAATCTAGTTTTAAATAAACGCTGTCGCCATTTTACAGTGCAACATTGTAGCAAGGCCTTATGTATAGAACAATTAATCAAGATGCACAAACGTTTACTTCACTTTTCATATGGCCGAAGTTGTGACTTCTTCTGCAGGAAGAGGCAAACCACGGTGCAATCATCTACTTTACAGTAAGGGTATTTATTTTCCCATGCAGCAGTGGCTGCTTCCACTACTGCCCTTGCCGCTGCCTCTTCAGAGTCCACACTCCACACAATTGATGCAACTTCATTGTTACTTAGTACATCCCGCACCTATACTTAAAAGGGGTAAAAAGTGTCAATAAATAATACTTGTGCAAACACTTTCACATAGAGCGGATGATCTCACGCTAATTTAAATCTAAACATTTTTATACTTATCTAAACTTTTTATTTAACTTATATCTTTTTTAAATTTGTAGCGGTGTGAAAAGATCGTTGTTCTACATATATCAATAGTAATTTAGCACGTACCCCATCAGTTGCAAGAACAATAAATTGGTCAGTTGATGTTAGAGGGTGATATGAAATATCTGGAATGGCAATGACACCGTGATCTTTGAGCACGAAATCTCCAAAAGCTCGAGACATAGCTAAGCCAGGGGAGTTCTTATTTTTAGGCAACCACACTCGCTCGACATGTGGTTCTTCCTTCAGCGCATACACACGACCATTGCACCTCCTTATTCTTTCTGCTTCGCCTTCATTCCAATTTAGTTGCAAATTAAATTATTCTCTCTCATAAATAAATTTTTCATCAGAGAAGAAACTGCATAATAGTTTATGGGAAGAATCTTACGAGGTAACCCAGGCTTCAAATCTGTGGTCAATTGAATGGCTACGAGTTTTTCATCATAGATTGTTCCCAACACAGCTCTCGAGTCACCCAAATTTGCTATAACAAGACCTTCACCCTGTGAATTGTTAATTGTTAATTATATAGTTTTGATAATTTCAATTCTTAAGACTAAATTTAAGCATATAAAAATAGTAATTTTTTTATTATAAAATGTAATATGTATTATACTTTTTTATTCTCAGGTGATAAATATCTTTTAAAAATAAAAGTTTATCACCTGTAATTGTGTATTAGTAGTGTTTTCTTAAAAGCTGAAGTTAGTATTTTCTTGATTGTATTATGCTATTTTCATAAAAATGATGAAAAGGAATGGGAAAATCTCTCAAGGTTTTATTCACCTGTTTTATGACAACTACAGCTGTGGTTCCACTGCAAGAGCAATCTAGATTCCCTTGAAGCTTCACTTCCTTGTCCATCACTCTGAAAGCACTAACAATAACTTCTTTCCATTTCTTAAAATTTTTTGCAACAGAGACCTCTTTCATTCTGTCAACATGGTTACCATTTTCTATCTTATCAATATTTTCAATAATATTCTTTTGGCTCAGTATGAGTGAAGACAAACGATTGTTTACTATTTTGCTCACTATGTGTCCATTCTTTCCATGCCCATCATAAACGCCACAAAATGCTTCATCTTCCATCCCATAACCCTTTTGAGGAACAGCAAGGGAAAGAGAAAAAAGGGAGTATTTCAGTAATTTTATATGCTCCATAAAAATGACTAATAAAATAAAAAAATATTAACATCGGACCTAATAAACTAAAAGTAATTTTTTCTTAAAAAATATTTATTATATTAAAAATATAAAAATTTTAAAAAAACATATTTTTAATAAAATATTACTATTTTTAAATATTTAAAATTAGTCTTAATGATTATATTTAATAAAACAGATAATAATATTTTCTCGAAGAGCCGTGAAAATGGTTACCCTATACTTGAATCGTACTTCATGGGGTTGGAACAAAAAACTCATATTTTATTTATATCACAAAGTAAAGGTTTAGTTTGAATCCATCTTTTACATGCATCAGATATCTGATTAAAGAAAAGTTTGGAAGACAATAAAATTAATTTGAATATAAAATTCAATATCCAAACTCTATATTTATACTCATTTTGTCTGCTCTAATTTTTTGTACATCATAAATGATATAACAAAAGTTATTTGGATATTATTTATAAAATGCATGTATATAAATAAAAAATAAGTATTAAATAAAACCATTACATATAATATCATATGCAATGTGAATTATCTGAGGATCAAATGATCGAACTTTAAAACAAACCTGATGAAGAGAGGCAGCATCTTGGTTGAGTCCTTTGGTACCCTGTTTAGAGTAAACAGAGAAAAGTCTCTCACTCCCACTTAGGACCTTGCTTGCTTCAAATATTATCACATTCTCATTGTGAACTTCTTCAGGGACCCCATGAATCTCTGAAGATGCAATGGAAATGCAGATACCCATTCCACTTGTTCTACAAATTTATTAATTGAGTGAAATAAGTCTACTCCTCAAGACTTTGAGGACCCAAATATATATAGGAAATAACATGTGGTTACCACTGGACTATACCTGCAAGCTCAAGTTTACTTAAAGCCAATAATTGACTTTGTTTTTTTAATGGTTAGTTATTCAATTAGGCTGTCCCTATACTCACTTTAAGGGACATTAGGCTGTATTCTTCCAAACCAATCCTCAAAGGGGTATATGACTTTTTATTCTCTAGTCATATTATTATATTATATTAATATTTTTTATTTTGATCCATGCTATATTACTATTCATGTAAAATAAATTAATGCTAACTATCCATGTATAATTATGTAACTCTGAATTAGAGTTATAGAGCATAGTGAATCAATTCAGGATTAAGTAATTCATCAACTTTAATCATTGCTGGTCCTGTAATTATTATTTTTTGAGCATACAAGTTGATAAAAACAGAAAGATCTTATGATTAGTACCTTAGCACAAGGTGGTGTTCTCGCACTCACATGGCTGTGTAACTAATCCTTGCTTGGATGTGGTCATGGCAATAAAAAATGTATTAAAAAATGTAGATGAAATATATGAGATATGATAGAAATTTGCTCGTATCAAGAAAGCAAGTCTTCCATCTTAGTGCTATGTTTACTTTGGCCCTGATCATGCAACACTTTTGAAGTCTTCTAAAATTGAGCTCAATTTGCAAATAAAGATTCATCTTGTGACTCTACGTGATTACAATAGTTTTAAATTAGATATAAATCCGTATGTTGCAAGAGTGTTTTGAACTTCTTTTGTTCTCAATCTTTTATTTCCTGTTATTGTTGAATATGCTGGACAGATTTTATTACTAAAATTTTGATAATTATCAATCACTCTAGTCTTTAACTTTTAACAGCCATCAGTCAATTTTAATGTGCACTAATGTTGAGGACCAAATTACTTTATGCACATGAAAATTAAATATTAAATGGACTTATAATTTGCAAAAGTCAGTGATTATATTTTCTTTTTTTATAATGTTAAGAACCAAATTAATGAACACTATCAACTAAATTGATGTTTATCACAATGTTTATGATAAAATTTCTCACTAGTACCAATTTTCAAGAGCAATTCGACATTTTACTTCAATATTTATTTACTATTAACAATTGATATATAACAACGAGGAAAAAAGGTATGCATGAATAATTCTTGCAACAATAAGCCACTGATAGTTAGGAAAAGTTTATGCCCCAATGAAAGGAAATGGGACTTTTGGAGGAACAGAAAGAAAGGTCAAGGAAAAAGACTGCCATTAATTTACCAAAATCTTAAATTTAAGTGTCTTCATTGCAAGAATTTTATATATAAAATTAAAGATAATACAATTATATATAATACACATCATAACATCTCAATACAATTTCAACTATATATAATTGAATAATTGCGTTAAACGCATACCAGATGAGAACACACTAGTCATAAGCAATCCTGATGAGAACCCATGAGTCATAAGCAATCATTATTTTGAGTGAGCCTGTATTACTCTCTTATCTGATTGCTATTATCCCACATTGTTAAATGTTTAATGGGACAACAATTATATAAGCCTAATCACATGAGAGCAGGAACCTCTCACTGGGCACATAAAATAGTCCAACCTATCACAGACTATTCACCCTAAAAGTCCAATTACAAAATCTATATAATTATTATTATTATTATTATACACATTTATTTTACGTCATAATTAATAACAATATAACCATAACAATTTAATAATGCTAATCCACAAATTAATATAAATATTAATATTAATGTTAAAAAATCTAACATTCTCCCACTTGGATAGCATTATTAAATTACTAAGTTCACAAACTATGTTGTCGTAACAAGTTATTAATTATCACCAAAGAAATAGTAAGCTCTAGATAGTATACAATTATATCCAATAGGGATATACATTACATACTACAAGCAACTTATATTCCAATCACAATATAGATAAAGGAAACATAAATATCATTTCTACAAAGGTCCAAGTATAAAAAATTGTCATAAAAGATATGTCAATAAAAGTGATGTCAACAAAACATATATATCATAAAGAAACTAAATAATAATGTTAACAAGCAAATACAAAATTTAACTCCCACTAATCCAAAATATCAAAAGACTTGACCAAACCCATATGAGCTACATGACTCTAAAAAGCTCCAATGGTTAAGCCTTTGGTTAGTAGATATGCTAACATGTTCTTTGTAACAATGTACACAATTTGAGTCTAAAACTCAAGTATTTTCTTTCTAATAAACAAATACTTTAGATCAAAGTGTTTCAAACGAGTAGAACTCTTATTATGTTAAGAGAGAAGTACAGCAGCAGTATTGTCGCAATAAATCACAAGTGGCCTAGATATACTTTTAATAATGTGGAAGCCAGAAATCAAATTCTTTAGCCACATAGCCTAGCGGGTAGCCTCATAACAAGCGATATACTTTGTTTTCATAGTAGAAATAGTTATAACTATCTATTTGACACTTTTCCAAGATACAACTCCTCCCACCATCATAAAAATAAAGCTTGAAGTAAACTTACGGTCGTCAGGGTAACCTACAAAATTAAAGTATCCAATGACCTGAAGTTGATCAGACTTCGCATAGGTCAACATATAATCTTTGGTTCCCTGCAAATATCTCAAGACCTTCTTCACGGCTTTCCAATGACCCAAACATAGGTTGCTCGAGTATCTATCCAAAGCATTAACAACATAAGCAATATCGGGACGAGTACAAACTTAAGCATACATCAAACTCCTAACAGCGGAAGCGTATGAAACTTTCTCCATTTCAAACAACTCTCTATCATCATGAGGACACTAAAAATTAGAGAGTTTCTTACCCCTTTGAAGAGGCGCAACGCATAGAGAGCAAGAATATATACTAAACCTCTTGAGGATCCTATCAATGTACCTTTTCTGAGACAATCTAAGAGTAACACGAGACCTATCACAACATATCTGGATGTCTAGAATAACAAAAGCATCATCAAGGTCTTTCATATCAAAATGGCTACTCAATATATTCTTTGTCTCATTCAAAGATATCATCAACATGTATGACAAAGATGATAAAATTGCTCCCACTAATCTTCAAGTAAATGCACAAATCTCAAGCATTTTCTTTGAAGTCAATAGAAGTGACCACTTGGTCAAACTTCAAGTACCACTGTCTAGAAACTTACTTCAAACCATAAATGGATTTTATTATTCTATAATTAAATTCAAGTTATAACAAAATTTGATTTATGTTAGTCTACACAAAATATTCAACAATTTATCTCTCATTTGGACAACATAAATCAAAACATTTTATTATTCTAAATTAATCAATAAAATATAGTTATAACAAAATGACAAAATAAACTAACACAAACTATAAACATTTTAACAATAAAGAAAATCATACTCGAAGGAGTAGTGATATCATACATTATAAGATACTTATATCATGTGTCTCAACAACTCTAGTGGTATAAGTTGGATAATAAATTTAGAATCCTGGAGTCTACACAATATCCTGCAAAGAAACTGCTAATTGATTTTTATGAACAATAAAAGATAGTAAGCTTTCTCCGTCTTATCAAATTCCTTAAGTTTCTTGCCTAGAGGCACTATTAAGATTTTACAATTTTGTGACAAATTTTTGCCAAAGAATTTGTCACTAATTTATCAGCAACAGATATTGTGACTAAACTTACTTCTTAGTATTACTCATCTCAAGAACATTGAACTTCATAATTACTAGACATATTTTATTAGAATGAGCTCATTTAACATGTTTTACTATAACCGCAACAGAAGATTCAGGTGTAGAAACTTTAGACTTATTCTCAATAAGGGCAACATTCACATTAGAAAATGACAAGAATAACAGAGTCAACTCAGTCCTCATAATTGGTCCTGTTCAAAGTTTTCACCAAAGTGGGCATAGACACTGATATGGAAAACAACAAAGTTTAATATGCACAATTAGCTCAAGTGCAACAATAATATGCCCATCACAAAATTTCTTACTTACTATGATCCCGCTTAAGGGTCTCGGATCACAATAAATAAGAAAGACGAATACAATGCACAAAACTTCATGTCACAAGAATCCTAACACCGATAGGGTATCAGTACAAAATTGACATAAGCAAAACACAATTGCATAGTATTTTTAAATCACATTAATAACAACACATCGATAGGATATAATTATTATTAATGCAATATACAATTATATAATTTACACAAGTCATGTATAAATGCTCTCACGATAGGTGGGATGACATTTATACAGAATAATCATGCATTCAGAATCAATTTAAATATGTATATTATGCATGAAATCATAATTATACCAAAATTACATCAAATAATTTATATAAAACTAATTTTCTTTTTAACATATATGACATTCAAAAAGAGAGTGAATAGTATAAAAAAATGTCATAAATATCAAATATTAGTATAATCATGTATATAAAAAAAATTGTATCATATTCCATCAATACAATAATTATTTAATTAATTTAGGTACGAGTTAATTAATTAAAAAATATTTACATTGCCTAAAAAATTATGAAAATTGTCCAAAAAATTTAATATCAAAATAATCATCTACTCGACGCTCTCTCAGCCACGCGAGGGGACTTCATACACTTAAAAAAAACCCATCAGCTGCAAAATGGGTCCAACAAATTCAGAAACTCGACCCAGTTCAATCTTGCATTCTAAAGTATCAATTCATATTGTTACAAAGGGTGTATTTTGAACAACAAAAGAGAGTTTCAAAGGCTAAAACCCGCGCAGCCATGCGCAGCCATGGAGGATTCAAAGTAATTGAGAATTCAAGCAACCCAAACAGTTTCATTCAACTAGTAGGGTCTATTACGTTCTTTGTGATGTGTACAACAAAAAAAGGACAATGACAAACGCAAAATAAAAG